AAAAACGGAGGTAAAAAAAAAAACGGTCACCTGGTTGCCGAGTTCACGAAGTGAGTTGGCTTGTTTTACAACGTCGTTGCCAAGCGACGAAAACCCAGTCCCGATGGCAAATACCACCGGGGGACAGGGGGGACAGGGGGGGCATTTAGCAACCGGCGTCACCAACAGAACAGTCAGCACTTCATTCATCTGACCCTCGAACTTGCAGCCCTGCTTCTTCTGCCTCGTTTTCATTCCCAGGTCGGCCGCGAATAATTTTCCCCCCTGTGCACATTTCTAGGCGCGCGTGTCTGATGCGTTTTCGTTGTTGTTGTTGTTGTTGCTTGCTTGCTTGCTTGCTTGCTTGCTTGCTTGCTTGCTTGCTTGCTTGCTTGTTTCGTGCAGTTCGTGATGCCCTTCGTTCACCCAAACACGAGGGCGAAGGTAGTGGTTTGCGGCGGAAATTTCCTGGAGAAGATGGGAGAGCTGATCGACTTGGAGAACGTCCCACAGGTGCACCACCGCCGCCCCCTCTATTTTGGAGATGGTTCTTGCGTCATCCCTTCGTTCCCTCACCAGTTTTGTTGTGCAATTTTTTTTTTAGCGTAGTACAAGCAGTCGGTTTTCGTTTTTTCCAAAATGGTTGTAACTCGCAACGATTGCTCTTTCTTTCATTTTGTTTTTGTTTTCCAAAATGTCAGTGGTCTGTTTCAGAGTATAATTAGGGTCATAATACGGAGGCCTCCACAAGGTTGTGGTATATATTACCACGCTTGTCGGAGTGCCACGCTATCATGAAGTACTTCTTTTATCAGCAGCCAATTGCGCTCAAACACGCCGAGTCCGTCATGGACGTCCCCATTTCTAAGCGTCGCGCCCTCCCTCCCTTGACCTCCTTTTCCCCATCTCTATTTTGGGGGACACGTGGTTTTGCTCTGCAGGACGTGGGGGGGCAGGACCCCACCCCGCCGTTGCAGGGTCCCCAGGAGCTGCAGATGCACGAACACGTGGTGAAGGTGTTGAAGGAGGAGGGGATGGAGATGAAGCCGATCGTGAGTGCACACATACGCACATACTTCCTATTTTCCCGTGTAGGCTTGGTTTGGTCCTGGGACCTTGATGTACCTGCTGTCATGGGAAGTAATAAATGGCACTCTAAATTTATCACGAATGTTTCCTGTTGTTGTTTTTGTGGGCAGGCTTGTGTTTGGTACATTTTATGTGTCTCAATATATCACAACGTGTTTGTTGTTGTTCATTGCGTACACATAGTAGCACCGAAAGTAAGCAGAGCGAAAAGACTTGTTGGCGACAATCGCAGAATGTAGCGAGCAGCAGATGCTGCAGAAGCGGTCATTCCGTATCAGGGCTGTTGCGTTGCTCAGAAACATGGTACATTGATTTCCGATGCCTCGCTCTCCTACCCCGTTCCCGCCCTCCTCTCCGTGCTGGCCCCAACGTCTCCCGCCGTCACGCCTGTGTGTGTGTACGTTTCTGCTGCCTCTCGCTAACGGTCTGTCCCCGCCTCTCTCTTCTCTGTCGTACGGCACGTGTTTTTCGTGGGGGGCGAATCGCCGGTTTTCAGCGCTAAACACGGGGGGGCGGGGCGGGGGGGGGGGGGTCAATCCCGAACGTTCAGCGGGACCAAGGTTTGGCCGCTGGCGGGAAATTGTTGGATGGATTCCCGATCCCGATTTCCGGAGCTGGCAAGTGATTACTTTGAATTGGTAGACTCTGGATCTCGACGTTGTCGAGCTGGCCTTGAAATGACTGTCGGGGTGGAATCCGTTCTCGGCCTTGTTGTCGAGCTCGCATGTACTCCATTGGATTGTGTTCCCAATCCCCGGCTTTTGTCGCTGGCAACAAAATTTTTGTTGCATCCCCCATACGCGGTGTTTGCCTTCGAGTGGTCTGAGGAGGTCTTGACGTTGGTGACTGGGTACGGCAGTGGTATTGCAGTCGTAGGTTTTCGGCGGGATGGTTACGGGGGTGGGATGGTGGTCGTTGGGTTCCATGCGCGCCTGCGAGGCGATGGCTGGGATTTCACAACCTGACCTTCTTGGTATACATGCATGGCTAAAATCTCGGCCAGGAAGTTCGCCCGATCTTCTTACAAGCAGCTATGACCTCGGCTTGGCAGGCAGGCCCTAGTGTTGGTCTTGTTGGTAGACGGGGTGTTTGTTTACGCCGCCTTCGTGAGAAGCGTCAATTTTCCCAAACCAAGTGACCGCCGGCATTGGAGGCGGCGACGGATTGGTCCTCAACGATCGCTGGCCTGATTGACTCCCATGATATGGATCAGCTTGCACGGCCCGGCAGCAGCTGTTACCGTTTCTGGCGTAGGAGTACCTATCCTAAAGCGTTCTTCCTCTGACGTATTCTCGGCTGGATTGGGCCCGGCTCGGAACGGAAAGTGGACAGCAGTGGGGATGGATTTTTGTTTGCGTGTGAATTGGACGAATGGCGGTGCGCAGAGAGAGGGCAGCTGTAGCAGTAGCGAGTCAAACTGAAAGCGTTAGTGAAGATTTTTCACGTGCCTTGGATGCCCTTTGCTAGCCCTTGGCGTGCGTGCAGAGGTTGCGGGGGCAGAGGTGGGGTGGCAGGAAGGGGGG